TAAAATCAACTTCATAAATTTATAATTTACTATTAAAACAGAATATATATTTAATATTTAAGAAAGACTGATATAAATATTTAAATAAATTTTGTTAATTTTATAAATACAGTATATGAAATCAACTTTCTAGCTACATGAATTTGATGAAGTTAACTATTTATCATAAAAATTAAGCAAGAAATTATTAAATGTCGGCAATAATTTTGTACAGTTTAGTTTATCTAAATACGTGCTTATTCCTGTAAATTTTGAGAGTTCTGTTTCAATAATTAATGCATTACCGAGTGGAAATCAATACTAATTACTTATACAATGATAAACTCATGCTTTTCTCATATTTAAGACTTTCTTAGCCTATAAATCTGTATGATTTATACGCTATAAAATTTGTATTTATATATTTTTAAATTATAAACTTTTAAAGATTTATAAAATAATATATACAAAATATAAAATCTATTTAAATTTGCATATAATTATAAATAATAATAAAAATTTTAATATTTTTCTTTTTAATAAATGGGAATAAGAAAACGAAAAAATAGAGAAATTGAAAAATTTATTTTAAATACTAAAAAATGAAAATAATTATGAAAAGTAGTTGAAATGTTTTAAAGTGTACAAAAAAGCACGAAAGGAAGTTAACGAATTAAGAAAATTTTTATTTACTTAACGAGTTTTTCAACTTCATTATTGAACACAATTAAAAAACTAAGAACCGTTCACCGATAAGTAATTTATATTGGATTTTCACTCGACAGATGTTTGTTATTTTCCGCATAAAAGAAAAATAACGTCGATCTTAATTTTAAGTTTTAAAAGTGTTAATGCCTCTTAAGACAAAAGAAAGAAAGTTTATCGAAAAATCTTTAATTTTATTTACGAGAAAGATGTTCATCTGCTTGAAATATTCAATTGAGAACATATAATATCAGCATCCACGTATCATCACCGAATCAGCAATTGTTGTCCCGAAGGTAATCTCGATGCTAGATAATGTAAAATTACATCACACGAACAATTCTGCATATGGAGATGTTTCTGACTTTCACATCCAATCTTCAGATTCTTATTGCAATTCAATAGCAAATAACTTTTCAAGAACAGTAAATACTTCAAGCGCACTTCTATTCAGAATTAATATCGTAAAGTGTTTCTTTATTAATTAGAAAATAAGAAAATTTGTAAACGATTACAGACAATTATTTAAATTAAAATCAATAAATTTATATCTACCTATAGAAAAAATAATAATTCATTATTTTTTGTTTTGAATAAAGCCTGCGAGTTTAATTAAAACATTATATAAAGACTATACAACCTTTTCGCGGAAATTATTTGTACGGTAAATTAATTGATCAAAAATTAATATCAATCACTGTTGATGGATGTGTTGAACAAATTAATTTTTGATAGATAATTATGACTAGGTAGGTCTACTATATAATAATGAAATTCGTATTTTTACGTAAGTTCATAAACTGCTGACATCTTGAATTACATACGTGATTTATATGTATTATTATTGCTTACGAATTATAGATGTCAGAAGCTTGAATTTTACAAATTCATAACTAATATATTTAAATATTTATTTTATTAATGTTATTCAATCAGTTTTTATTAATTTAATAAACTACAAATCAAATAGTGATAATTTTTTATGTTGAATTTTAATTTATTTTTAAATTTTATTCTTATTTTGAAGCAAATTTAGAGAATTTTTAAACAAATAGTTTTACTTGTTCTTTCTAGAATTATAAAGAATAAATTTGCTTGATAAATATAATACGCTAGTCTGATCTTATCAATTTACTGATTTCTTTTAAAATATTTCAGCATTCTAATGACTTAAAATTATTTTTCATTATATTAAAAATGATATAAGATTGTCTAGAATAGTGATAATAAATAGCAATTGCATTTCATTGTCCTACTTTATATAATTATATAAATTAAAATTACGAAAATTTTAATTTACATTATTTATTTATCATGTTGTCTTTCAAAAATTCTGAAATATTACTTAATAAATACACTAGCTANTAATTATATAAATTAAAATTACGAAAATTTTAATTTACATTATTTATTTATCATGTTGTCTTTCAAAAATTCTGAAATATTACTTAATAAATACACTAGCTATATATTTATTTCAAAACCAACAATTGTATTTTAATATAAAGTTCTTACATAAAAAATTTATGTAGAAAGGCTTTACACAAATATAAGAATTTGAAAAAACTCCGTATTTTCGTGAATTTTTAAACATTTTGGTTCTTTGCTAATATAAAAATTTCGATACGTCTTGAAGAGTTATCAATTTATATTTCATGATAGGAAACTATATCAGATTAATTTTTAAAAGTATGAAAGCGTTACAAATTATTTCAATAAATAAATTAACACATGATGAATATTCAACGATAATTCGCTATAAATATGAATATTCAAACATCCTTTCGAGTGCCCGTGTACAAGAATACGTCTATAATAATATTTGCCTGTATATAGAATCCGGAATAAATTTTATACGGAAGCTATAAAGTTTATTTTTGTTTCCAATAACTAAGCATTATTCTCACAGGAACCTTTATAATTTATGTATTGATAATTTGTATACATTATATCCGTGATTGCTGAGCTCAGTAAAATACATTATTAGTTTGAATTCTGCATAATACAATAAAATTATTGGTGTGAGAACTATCGAACTCAAGTTATTCAAACAAGCTAATTTCAGAAATTTTCTGCATTATAGCCTATAAATCTCTCATAAAATTTTCCAATTAATTATTTATCTGAGTAAATTTAAACACTGAGTTATTATATATATATAAATATATATTCTTACTTTAAAGAAAAGGAAATAGATCTTAAATATAATTTAGCATATTTTCTTCCTAAAAAGTATAGTATTTAAATACTTATATACAGTATTTAAAAAATTATATAACTTTATTATATTAAATAAGCATAAAAATTAACAAAAACCACATGTTGATAATACGATTCTCTGAAATATTCTTTATTGAAACATGAGTTTATATATATATATATATATAGGTATCATATAATAATTAAGCACATAATTTCTGTTCAACTGTGTTTGGGTGCGGTTTAATATTGTATTTTGTCTTTTTCTCCATCATATCAGAAATTTAGTAGGCGTGGATTACATCATATATATAAGTAAAATCGATTACTTTATTGTTTTTCACACTGAATATCGACAATGCTAATCACTGAAATGTATTATGAAGTCACATTCCATTAGTATTATTATAACTAACGTTTAGTTCAAAAAGAAACTTGCCCTTAATCAAAATTTCATATACCTATTAATATAAAAACAATGTAAAACTTAATTAAAAATAACGAAAAGTTACTTTATGATGAAACAAAATGTAATAGAATAATTACGAAGAGTTTCCAAAAGTTAATTTATATGAAATGTTTCTCATAAAATTATTTTGCATTTTTGCAAAAGTGACTTCGAGTCTATGGATATGATCACTACATTGGCATGAAGCCAACGATGCAAACGTATTACTTAATGCGTAGAATATAACAAGTTTAATCTTTGGGTTTTGAAATGAAAGTCTTGAAAAAGCAATCATTTATGGAATACTTAATATCATTTTAATATATGATTAATGAAATTTATGATATATATATTGTTCCCGAAACTTAATTTTAGAAAAAAAAAACAACAGAGTACTTAAAATTGAAGTTTTAGTTTAGGGAGAAACTATCGGAATTTTTTCTTTTAATTTTGATTATAAATTTAAGTTAGAAATTAGTCTAATAAATTATAAATTAATTTGACAGAATTTCGCTCAGAATCATCAAATAGCTATCATAATAATATAGGAATAGCAAGTGAAAAGTTAGTATTAACTTATAGATGCAGTAAAAGCACAAATTAAAACAGTAATTTTTGATTTAATTTTATGATAGTTTTTGTGCTCTTTCTGAATTAAATGGATCCAGTTATATGACTTATAATTTTAAACAGATCAATTTTATTGTTCGATGTCAAACAGAACAGCAAGGATCTCGATCACTAAGCAAGGGATGACTACATAGAAGAACATTCAATACTTCAGCTGTGATTTGGACCGAAGAATTGAGCATCGTCATGTCGATAGCAGATGGGACAAGACTCTGCTAAACAATCTGGACACTACACAGACTACTTACATTTGATGGTCATCAAAGGCTCCCTGCTTGGATAACAAGTGCCATCGACATCCAAGTACTCAACAATATTTTCTACAATCCACGAGATACCGCAAGTTTTCAAAAGATGACATTGAATAGCATTGAAAGCAAACAATATCTTTCTAGGTTGTAAAACTATTTCTATTGATAGCAATGATATAAGCAATTTTCTAAAATTGAATGTAATTGAAACTTTTGAAGTGCTCGATGTCTAAATTGTGACAAAATTATTACTATACATCAATATAGAAATTTAAGAATAATTCTTAAAAGCAAAGAAAAAAATATAGACATATTAGAATTTTTCGATAATATTATTTAAAAGTTATTAATATAAATATTATATTATATTGATATTTTTCGATGTAGTTTAAGACAATATGAGCAAATCCTTAATGCATTTCTACAGACAAACCATTACAGTATTATATCTCCGAGAGTAGATAATAAGTCTGCAGTACATCTTATAAGTACCTCGTTTATGACATCCCGTTATGGACTATAATTACAACAATATTGCACAATTAATATGACGGTACCTGATCTGGCTTGTTCTACAAATAAATAAAAATACAATACCGATGAAACCACTTTAATCAAATCTGTTATATACTAAAATGTTTAGTTTGTCAAAACGTATTCTATAACATTCAAAGAGTTTATCAACATTATTTATATGTTTAAGAATAAATTAAATAATATATTAATTAATTAAAATTTTAAAATTTCTTGCTTTACAGAATATATACGAGAAATTCAATATAACTTACCTGCCAAGATGACAACTGTCGTTTCGTGCAGAGTAATGCTTTCTTCATACTAAACATGGATTTTACGTCATTTAAAGTGAAGTTTTATTCTTCATTTCTATTCAGATATTAGAGGAGATGGAACTCATTTCATTCGTCCACATCCACTGCCGTTCTAGTGGACCAGGCGCCGGCAGAATCTCTTGGACTGCTACCAAGTAGGTAGAGGGGAGAAAGGATGCTTTACGGATGGTGAAAATAACCACAACTAGAAATATTACAATCAGATTTTAAACATCACAATGATGATAATTTATCTTTAGTTTTATAAATTACAAAAAATATATCCATATTTTATAACCGCTAAGAAAAAAGTAATTTTTTTTAAAAATATTTTTTCATAAAAAAAGAAGTATTACTTACATCTTAATTCAGTAAGTAAGATTAAAATAAATTATATATTTTTATTTAAAATTTTAAAGTAAATATAAACAATATGTTTTATTAATATCCTTTAAAATTATAGAAGTTATTATATAACTAATTTTGACATTTAAAATGATAATATTATTACATATTCTTATGCGTTTAAAGTTGACATAAATTTTTAATTACACACTCTACCGTTACTTAATGAAGAGTAACTTTTAATTAAGCAGAATATATGCTTTATAAAAATCATAATCGTAAAAGATACTTTACAGAAAATAACTTTGAATTTTGCTTTTATGAAAATATCTAATTTGAAACAAAGTAAAGTTATATTCATTCAAGTATGACTTCTGTTCATTGATTTTTTCTTAGTTTCTTTCAAAGTGTCATTGTATTCGCGTTCTCTTTTTTTTATGATACCTTGACGTTTTATTTATATGTTTTATTTTTCTTTAATTTTATCCAAGTCACACGTCAATACTTCTCTGCTTTAAAGTAGTTTAAAAATTTTCAGAAAGAAAAAACCATTACCGAAAATTATTTTATACAGGACAGTATTTACCAGTATTCTTAGTTATAATAAATAAAACAGTAATAGTTAAGCAGATAATTTTGATTTATAATAATAGTTTTCAAAATTACCAAAAAGAATTGTAAATATTACTTTATTGTGATGGAACATAACATTTTCTCATAACGTTTTGGTAACATTATCGCAACCATGTTGAATCCGCCCAGTAGGAAGCTGCAGTACAAGTAAACACTGTAGGGATGCTTGGATTATAGTTAAAGCAAGTGGAATAAGTTACACCATTAACGTCATCATCATCCTAGATGATATAGATTATTATTAATCGTTTTAATTCTTTCATATCGACGATAAATAATGCTTTAATCAGATATTTTCATTCTTAATAAGAGTTTATGAAATAGCATAAAGGAAATTTTTGAATTTTATTATTCTAAATATATTGTTACAATTATAATGTATTGCAAAATTTAAATTTAAAAAGTTATTATTTATTATATTGTTACTTCAGTGCTATAATGATGCCAGAAATTTTAATTGACGAAGTTTTCTTTATTTTCATTCATAGGATTTAAATAATTAAGTTTTTAATGCTTTTAAAGAATTTATTTCGTGAAGGAAAGACTTTTCATTATGTGGAAAGAATATTTTTCAGAAAGTTACTGTAATAAAAATATATTATAGCCTAACCTTTTGTAATATAAATGAATATGTAAACAATACATAAACACAGAAAGAACTTGATATTAAAAATAAGATCCAACCCTTCTTATTCTAATCGATGCTGTTAAACCTTTGGGAAATAACGAAGAAGAGAAAATCCGATATCTTTTGTTAATGAATCTAGTCAAATTTGCTTGAAGCTATTTTAAAAATTGTTATTTCATAATTCATCTTTAAGAAGTAGAATTAAAAATTGAAGTTTTTTTTCTTTTGTCACTTTTTAATATCAGTCTCTTCATTTTTTTATTCAGCCTCCCAGTAATGACATAGCTAAAAAGTCAAATACAGTGATGGAGAATGACTATGGGCAATTTCGGAAGCTAACAATCTTTGCTAAAGATACCAAGAAATTCACTGAATATGAAAATTCGAAATAAAATAGTACTTCTTTTTTATTAAACTTGCCAATAATCTACAAAACTTAGACATTAATATTCACATTTTTAAAACATAAAGTAGTATTTAAAAGAAATAAATAAATGAAATCATATATTAAAAAGTTACAAAACATCGAAAATTTATTATAAATTAAAGTAATAAAATTATTTTTAAAAATTGACTTAATACTAATTAGATTCTACAGTTTTTTTTTTTTAAATTAAGAAGACGTGTTAAGAAAAGATAACAAAGTATTTTATTTTTTTATAAAAAATTTTAAAAGACATTAAACCAATGCAGCTTTTTTGTATAAATTTAATGCAGGAAAAAGAATATAAAAAATACTGATTAATATTATAAATATGAAAGAGGCCTCTTGAAGTCACTTCAATAAATTATTATTAATATATTTTATAAGCTTGGAGAGATAAAAATATTTTCACTTACGTAATAAAGGCAAATTTAGTCGTAAAACTCTTACAATAGCATAATTTATTTACTAATATTTCATTAGTTAAAAAAATAAGCTTGGTAGTTTACTTGAAAAATATACTTTTTATCCCGAATAAGGGATTGAGGTGATATTTTTTCTTTAAGATGCCGTAAAGTTAAGCTTTGTTAACAGTAAACCAAGGATAAATTACTTTAAGGGTTTTTTCCCCTTCTTCTTCTTTTAGGAAAGTAAATAAAATTTAATGATTTTGTGTTAGATATACTTCTATATTAGTTATTTAAAAAATTGATTATATTATTTATACACGGTATAATAATTAAATGAATATGGATAGAGATTAAATGAATAACATGTAGTTCACGATGACATTGATAACTAGAAATGTCACTTGATGAAATGAGCAGTGAATTTATATTACATTATAATTACATTCAAACTTATTCAAGAATGTTTATATATAATTGAGTTAATGTGCTGATAATTTGAAAAATACAGAGAGATTTTTTTTATTAAAAAATTGTGCAAAATTTTATACACGTATTTTAAAAATCTGAGCCAAAACTATATTGCATTGATAATTTATATAAAATCTAATAAACTCGTAACATTGTTATATAATATTTTTAGTAAATGTTGCTTGTAAATCTACATTAGACTTATGAGCTAACTGGAAGGGATTATAATATTTACTAATATATGTGGCGCCATCTGGGAGAGAATATTTTTGAGGATGCTCAAAGCAACTGCCAATAAAACATATTTTGAAATTAAATTAATAAAATAAAATTATTATAATTTCCCGCATGAAATAAATTCGTTACTTAAAAGTTATTAATGATCAAATTATTAATTTTATTATACTTATAAGAATAATACATTTTGAAATTAATATACAATGTCTTCATTAATAAATATAATAACTCATTTCGTTTAGTTATGTTTATTTGATTTTTAAATTTACTTAAAATTTGTCTATAACAAATGACATATCAACTAATATGAAAGTTTTAAGTGTGTACTCGAAGGAGTAGTTAACTAAGTTCTCTTGGAAATTAGATTGCGCTATTCTTTAATTTTAACTAGTCTCTTGATTATTATTGAAGTTAGCTAAGATTTTATTTCGAAACTAACTTCCCATAATTTTAATGTGCTGTCGTAGAAAGTTTATTTTAGTTTTATCAATTGCTCTACTTGCATTCTTGCCTAGCCAGACAAGGAATAACACGATATTCCTAGTCGCAGAGAACAGAACAATCTTCACTTTTATACATTACTTTTAGTTATCCATGAATAAAAAAAATTGTTCATTTCTTGTTTTATAAGTTAAGGGAGCCATTATCGTAATTTTTTATGATTTATTTTAAATATCACTGAATAAAATTATAAAGATAATTTCCTACATAAAAGTTCTGTGAATTGTTCGAATATTTTGTTAATTTAAGGAATAAAAATTTATTATTTTGTCTTAAACTGAATTACTTTCAATTTACGATAAATCCAATGATTTATTGTAAATTGTAAATTAATAAATAAGTTGTAATTTTCAGTTTTGAGTTCATTTAAGATTAAATTTTTATATTCGTTGCAAAGTATATTACAATATGCAAGTTATATATCGTTAAACAGTTGAAATATATACAAGGGAATATAATCATATTTTTTAATAATCTAATCATGATGTTTCTAAAATTTATGTATCCGGATAAAAATAATTATTTCAAGATTATCAAATATGCACAATGTTATTACTGGAGAAAGTTTTTGTCTAATGATAACAGTAGGATAAAAATACAATTCAAATTAATTAATTACATATATATTTAAGATTGTAATTAATTAACAAATAAATACAATTTGTTATATATATATATTTATTTAATATATGTAAAATAGTCAAAAGAGAAAAAAAAATAAGGATCATTTAGCCCTGACTTCGGACACAAAAACTTAATGTTTTATGTAAAAAGTGCGATATGAAAATGATAAAATAAATTATTTTAAGTGATGAGATATTTTCTTTCATTTGTCTTATGGATTTTATTCATATATTTTTTATAGCTTTCAGGAAAGCTGTAGTGTACATTTGTAACTAGAGTATACCCAATCTTACCTTTCTCAGGATCTGATTACATAATATATGCATATAATATAATGAAAATAGGCAGACTTTACAAAATTTCAAAAGGAATTTTTAAATTTACATTGTTTTTCAATTTAAAAAGTTTCCAATTTTGTAATGGACGGAAATCAATAACAATATTATAAGGTTATAATATATAATGAATTAATCCTGATAATATTCCATAATTGAAGTGCAATGCAGTTATAATTGAATAATTGAAGTGCAATGCAGTTATAATATTTTAAATTAAATATAACAGATAAGTATTTAAATATATTTACATACCTTTAAATTAAATACACAGAAATTTGATTTCAATATCAACTCTTAATTTTGTTTTTATAAATTTTTTTATAAAATATTATTTTATAGAACGAAATAATATGTACATTTATTTAAATATACTGTATATTATACATAAAACTGTACATATAGTTAGATTATTCTGTAGACTTAACATTAATTTAACTGTCATTAAGTTTGCCGAACTATAGATAAATGTATTTAGGATGATAGTAAATTTCTAACGCAATCATAAGTAATTAAATACTTTAGATTTCAGCATAAACAGAACTGCGAAATTTAAATAAATATTCAGGTAAATATTAGAAGATAAATTTGTCTTACTAT